GTAAGAAGTATTGGATAAAAGTAAAATAGGATTTGATGATTAGTAACAAAGAACTACAAAAGAATTCAGCTCAATGAGAAAACATGACAGATCACAGATATCTCCCTCACAATCATATTTCAAAAATAAACAAAAAAGAATAATACTCAAAAATAAATCAAATCAAAGCTCTGGGCTACATAATAACATAAATCACCACATAAAGCACATTGTTATTTGACAGAAACCTTCAATAAAAAGATCGATAATCATCTGCATGGTATGTTTTAAAGCACAGGTGGCACACACAGGGCCCGTGGGCCAAATCTGGCCCTCCACCTTGTTGTATACGGCCCGGCACCATGTTTCTACCCAGTGGTAGTGAAAAGCTCTCACTTACTGGTTAAGGAGTAATTACATTTCTACAGCCCTAAAATTTCATTTGGCCCTTTGAAGGCAACTGCGAGACTGATGTGGCCCCTGGTGAAATTGAGTCTGACATGCTGTTTTAAAGGCAATCCTAACATGGGAGGCGAAGGGAGGGGAGGGGAGATACATCTTTTGGGGCATTTAGCCTTATTGTTTTGCTAGTATCTGCAGAAGCTTATCAACAGTATAGCAACACTACAGCCACTTGGTGACAAGTTTAAAAAAAAGCTTAAAAAAAAAACAACAACAAGCTAAGCATGCAGGTGCAAATTTACTTACTGACTAGAGGAATACATCAAAAGTACCAACAGCCCAACTCTTCCAATTGTACACCAACTGCCAAAACGTATGATTTAATGGAGAATATCCAAAGTAGGACTGGTCTTGCAAGGGTTACATCTGAAGACAGTGTATTTTTCACTGCTGATGATATTCTTAGAAAGTTGAGATTTGGACAGTGGGTAATTCATACTATAACCCCAAACATTACATCAGGGCTGGGTCTGAAGAAGGAATCCAAGATGAAAAAGATCCCACTTCTTGAATTTAGAGGAGATCCAGGGAGAAAAAAAGGTATACAGATACTGAGAACCCACTCACCCACCACTACCTTCACACTCCAAAACCCTGTACCCCCAAAAACTATCCTCATGTGGCAGGAAAGTTAGAATAGGGAACAAAGGCCTCAGGCTCTACCTGTCTCCTCCATTTTGGATGGAATGTCATTGACACTACCTTCACTGACCACCTGTTCCCTGCCCCAGTTTCCTAAACTGGGAAGACCAAAAAGAAATCACTATTTGAAGAGGACAGACAAGAATAAGCTGCACTGGCAGTCATCCTACCAGAGTCAGAAGCAGAGGACCACCCTATTCTCTCCTACCTCCCACCTACATTTAAAAAAACCTTCTACCTAGACCCCACCAGAGCATCTCATTCTCCAAGGTTGCTGGATCTCCCTTCTCCAATGCATACTATCACTTTAATGAATTTACTGTGCTTTGCTAAGTCCTTCTGTCATGCTCTTGAATCATTTCTTGTTCTGTGACAAAAAACTAGAATAGGACTGAGACTTCCCTCAGCTTCCCCAGGTGCCACCCTATACCACTGAAAGTCCACCTAGAAGTACAGAGGACTAACAACATAGTAGTTCTCAATACACACACAAAAATAAAGCTATCCTCACAGAACGTGCACCAAAATCCAATGAAGTTCATTAAATTGTAACATTGTAGAGATATGACTGGATTACAGTAAACTGATAAATGTATAATAATAATAGTAATAATAATAATAATAATGGCATCTCCATGGTAGTTTTAAAGAAACATCAGTTTGGAATTTTGACTACAGTACATGTGAAGAAAATAACCCATCTCAGAAACATGAGTATCAGACCCATGAAGCTAAAAGATTCTCAGAATGGAGACAGATGCATCAATGTGTCATAGTCTGATGACATCAGTCATTAAGATAATATAATTAATCCCCTGGGCTCTTAGTCTAAACTTAACATACAACCTTATTATAAATTATATTCCCATGTATATTAATGCAATGTTTTCAACCTCTCCTCTCCTTATTAACTGGGTTCAATATACTACCGACATTAACAGTGATTTACTAAGGCAGTAATTTTTAACCAGGAAGCAACCACATATTTAAATTTCCAAGGAACTGTTTAGTTTAAAAAGTACCTCAAATCCTTGAGATTCTTAAGTTTCCTCTACTAGCTGAGAATTATAGGCCTACCAGGAAAACAGACTGACCTAATTTGATGAATCTGATAATTACTTATTTCTCTCTACAAATTAAAATTTTGGCATTTTGGTTTTTATATATCAGTTTCTGTGCCCTGGGTTAATGTGAGGTAGAGAGGCAGAGCATTTAATGTGTCAACAAATCAGTCATACATATTTAACATGAGTGAGAATTTTATGATACTAAGACTAGAACAGACCTTAAATAGAGGCTACTTAATCCAATCTAGTCTTAACACTGCCCCAATGAAAGAATCCCTTCTCTATTTCTGAACTTGGTTTAATTTGACTACATTCTACCTAAAACCTGAGAATAACTACACTGTTGGTTAATCACAGAAATGGGGTGTGGAGGAAGAAAGAAATTTTTATTTTGTTATTTCCTTTTTATTGAATTTATTGGGACACTAGTTAACAACACAAAACAGGTATTTTTAGAGCCCATGTCTCTCATTTCTAAAGGTAAGCAAACTTCAGTAGGGCACTTCAGTGAAAGAGGCCATGAGACATACTTCGGGAGGTAAAAATACAGGGTGGGGGAAGACATAAGACCCAAAGGAAAATGGGCAGAAGGCCCTAAACAAGAACTTCACAAAAGAAATTTTTAAAAAAGGAAAAATAAATTCATTAATTTAAATAAGGAGCACAATCTCATTAACAATCAGGGAAATACACATGAAAAATATAAAAAACATTAAACATTCATTAGAATGACAAAAATTAGGAAGCTGAACAATACCAAATATTGGCAAAGATACAGAGTAATAACAACTTGAGTACACTGTAGGGAATGTAAACTGGTGAAAACACTTTGGAAAACAGACATCACACATTTACCCCTCCACCCAATAATTTTACTTTATCCCTAGAGAAAATCTTGCATGCATATGTGTACCAGGATTCATGTTCACTACAGAGCTGTTTTTACAGCAACTAAGCTAGAAACCACTCAAAGACTAATCTCAGGTACAGAATGGACAAACAGTGACAGGGGAATACAATTTAATATTACATAGCAAATGAAAATGAACAAGCTAAAGCTGCATGCAATATGGACAATTTTCATAAACTTATCAAGCAAAAGATACAAGAGGAAAAAATGCAAACAGTTGACTTCATTTATAAAACACTCAAAAACAGACAAAATTAAGTTATATTTCTTAGAGCCCTGTTCGTGTACGGTAAAACTATTTTTAGAAAACTGGAAAATTATTATCACAAGAGTTATTTTATGAGTTATTACCCCAGTGAAGTTGCTACCCAGGGAATGAAATATCATAACCTGAGAAGGATTTCTAGAAGGATAGTGATGTTCTCCTTCTTGACCTGGATGATGGCTACAAAGATTAACATTTTTCTTCAAACTGTACATAAGTTTCATATACTTTTCTATAGTTACATAATATGTCAATACAAAGTATCAAAAGAAAGAAGCAAATAAAGTTACCCATTTTAAAATTCTACTGATTGCCCTCCCCTCAAGATAGTATGTAAATGGTGTACTTTACAAATTAACATTTTTTCCAACAGCCAGGTCTTTGGCTGGAGATTTAAAGGGTGTGTTTGAGGACATAAGAATTAGGGAAACCATTTAGTCAAAACTAGGAATGAAACAGCCATTTTTTTTAATTTTGGATGTGGCCTGAGGTAGAGTTGTGCAGCATTATTTTTATAATAACGTTATATTTACCAAATATATTTGGTATATTTACCAAAGGGAGAGACACAAAGAAAGATCATATTTTCAGAACTGACCTTAAAAGTAATTGTTGTGAAGTTATCTAGTAAAAGTGTATCTGTATCTTAAAAAAAAATTTCTATTTAAGGCTAACCATGCCTTTCCCGAACGGAAATATCAATTTCTTAAAAAAAGGCAGCCATATAGGAAAGAAGTCCCTACAAGCTTTAGTCTTGGTTATTCTAAGGACTGGGGTGTATGAGATGGGCCTAAAGTTAACTATGCTTGGCAAACAGGTATGTGAGAAAATATTTATGGTCATTGAAAACCATATATCCTCCAAGTTTACAGATTATCTTACTATTTTATATATATCACATTTTCAGTACTCAAATATTATTTCCAGATTCCTCATACCAACAGCTAAACTCTAAAACAGGCTTTTTTCAACCCTGTCCTCAGCTCTAACAAAATTTCTAGCACACATTTCCATTTTGAAGGCTTCTACTACACAGCCATGCTGTTTTCAGTTTTGATTCTCGTTTCTCCAGAAATAAAAATCTTAGCAATTAGATTGCATTCCTTTCATATTTCATACACATATACTACAAAATTTTATAATAAACAAAATAAAACTTAACTGTTATTCCCACTTCCTCACTCACAACATAGGATGAAAAATGCTGGGAAATTGAAACTTGTGTCCAGGATGAAAGTCTGACAAAACTGACAGGACAAAGAAATGGGAGATAAATTATGCGCTTTAAGACAAAAGACTTGAAAGGAAAACTAATAAAATTCAGTTATTGTGTAGTTGCTTTTGTTTTTCTTGTTTGTTTTTTTAACGTAAAAAGCCACTCAAGGAATTTAACTTGCAATTAGATTTTTTAAAAACTTTTCCACTAATTTTTGAAAACTTAAAATTTTTCTTAGGTGCAATAAAGTGCATAAATCTTAGGTGCATATCGTTCATTGTTTACATATGTAGATAAACATCCCTGTAACCATTGTCCAGATGAACATAAAGACTTAAAGGTAGATTTGAAAGTTTTATTGGCAAAAGGAAAAACAAGCAAAAACCCAAGAGATTAAATACCACTGCTTCTGTAAACCAAATGGTTTTTATTTTATTTAGTTAAATTTTATTTTCATACCTGAAATTCATCTTGAGTACTTTGAACATTGCACCATCTGGCAACAGGTTCAGGAACCACTTCCCAATCCTCACAGACTTGTTTAAGGATATTCACAAATGTTGTCTTTCCTGCACCTATTGTGAGAGAAAAAGTAAAACTGAGGAAGAAAACTTAGCAGGAAAAAAAAAGGCCAAAATAGTTATCAGCTTTTCAAAATTTAAAGTCATGCACAGCATTGACATTTTGGTCAATGTTGAACCATACATATTATGGTGGTTTCGTAAACATTATAATGGAGCTGAAATATTCCTATCATTTAGAGACATGTAGATATCCTGAATGTCTTAGCACAATGTAATACCCACATGTTTGCAGTCATGCTGGTGTAAACGAACCTACTTCGCTGCCAGTTGTATGAAAGTATAGCACATACAAATATGTGCAGTACATAATACTTGCTAATGGTAAAAAATGGTTATGTTACTGGTTTATATATTTACTATATATAACTTTTATTGTTAGAATTGACTCTGTTTATTTTAAAATAAAATAAAGAGCCCTGACTGCTGTGGCTCAGTGGTTGAGTGCTGGCCTGCATATCAAAGGGTCACGGGTTCAATTCCCAGTCAGAGCACATGCCTGGGTTGCAGGCCAGGTCCCTAGTAGGGGGCACGCAAAAGGCAACCACACATTGATGTTTCTCTCCCTCCCTTTCTCTCTTCTCTTTCTCTTTCCCTTCCCCTCTTTTTCTCTCTCCCTTCTCCTCTCAAAAAAATAAAAAAAAATCTTTATAAAAAAAAAACAAAGTTCACTGTAAAACAGTGTGCCCTAAACCTCATACATCTTATGGTTACCACATCTTTTGATTGCATCATTTTCTCTTATGCTTGATTTAATCTTGTGTCATATTTTTTAAATTACATTTTATTGATTACACTATTACAGTTGTCCTGATTTTTCCTCCTTTGCCCCCCTCCATCCAGCACCCCCCCAAGGCAATCCCCCCCACTATTGTTCATGTCCATGGGTCATGTGTATAAGTTCTTTGGCTTCTCCATTTCCTATACTATACTATACATCCCCATGGCTATTCTGTAACTACCTATTTGTATTTTTTAATCTCTTCACCTCTTCACTCATTCTCCCCCACCCACCTCCCATCTGGCAATGATCAAAACACTCTCCGTATCCATGATTCTCTGTTCTTGATTGCTTAGTCTTTTAGATTCAATTGTTGATAGGTACGTATTTTTTTCCATTTTATTGTTCATAGTTTTGATCTCCTTTTTCTTAAATAAGTCCCTTTAACACTTCATGTAATAATGGTTTGGTGATGATGAACTTCTTCAGTTTTTTCTTTTCTGGGAAGCTCTTTATCTGACCTTTGATTCTAAATGATCTTTGCTGGGTAAAGCAATCTTGACTGTAGGTCCCTGCTTTTCATGACTGAATGTTTCTTGCCAATCTCTTCAGCCTACAAAGTTTTTTTTTAACTTTTTTTTAAAGATTTTATTTATTTATTTTTAGAGAGGGAAAGGAGGGAGAAAGAGAGAGAGAGAGAGAAACTTCAATGTGCGGTTGCTGGGGGCCGTGGCCTGCAACCCAGGCATGTGCCCTGACTGGGAATTGAACCTGCAATGCTTTGGCTCACAGCCTGCACTCAATCCACGGAGCTATGCCAGCCAGGGCCTGAAGTTTCTTTTGAGAAATCAGCTGACAGTCTGATGAGCACTACCCTGTAGGTAACTTACTTCTTTCTCTTGCTGCTTTTAATATTCTCTCTTTATTTTTAAGCTTTGGCATTTAATTATGATGTGTCTTAGTGTGATCCTCTTTGTATCCATTTTGTTTGGGACTCTGTTCTTCCTGGACTCACATATCTATTTCCTTCACCAAATTAGGGCAGTTTTCTTTCACTATTTTTTCTAAGCAACTGCTCTAACCAACTCAGCTACCCAGCCAGGACTCACTTGTTATTATTTTTAATTTACCAAAACTATGGAAGAGAAGAATTAAAGATCCGGTGAGACTTTAGGCAAGATATTATGGTAGAAAAGAATCACAGTCCTAGGCTCACTTTCTTCAACCAAGGAATAAGTGAGCGATTGATACTTTTGTGGGGAGTGCTTAATTAGGTATGTGATTTTAGGATAAGTCACTGAACTTCTCTGAGCCTGTTCCCCATAATTCAATGGAGATAATAATAATAATGCCCTTCTAATGGAAACTGCTGTGATAAGCAAGTAAACTATTAGTACAGTGACAGTCATTCTAGGCTCTCATATTTTCAAAATTTTCTTCCCCAATGGCTCCATTCTCTCAGTTTACAAACAAGCTCAGGTCTTTCATAAAACCAATTTAGAAACAACCAAATAAACTATAAAATCAATATAAAGATGCATCCAATGCCTTGAGTTTTATAATGGAATTATATAACTAATTATTATATGGCACTATGGTTACAATTAATTATAAAAACAATTATGCAAGCCCTGGCTGGTGTGGCTCAGTGGATTGAACTCCAGCCTGTAAACCAAAGGGTCTCTGGTTCAATTCCCAGTCAGGGTACATGCCAGGGTTGAGGACCAGGTCCACGGTGGGGGCGGTGCAAGGGAGGGAACCACACACTGATGGTTCTCGCCCTCCCTTCTTCCCTCCCTACCATCTCTCTAAAGAAATAAAATATTTTAAGAAAACATTTATCAAAGTATTTCCTACAAGCAATAAGCATGTTTTCTCTCATTCACATTCATGGTATGTGCAGTGTGTACTTTATCCAATGCTTTACAAAAGCTAATGTTACAGAGCAAACATTTCAAAAATTTATATGGAACCATAAACAACCTGAATAGCTGCAGCAATTCTGACAAAGAACACGATAGGAGGAATCACAATACCTGGTATCAAACTATATTACAAAGCCACAGTAATCAAAATAATCTGGTACTGGCATAAGAACAGAAACATAGATCAATGGAACAGAATGGAGTTCAGAAATAAACCCAAGTCTCTATGGTCAAATAATATTTGACAAAGGGGGCAGAAGCATAAAATGGAGTAAAAATAGCCTCTTTAACAAATGGTGTTGGGACATCTGGACAGCTACATGCAAAAAAATGAAACTTGACCACCAATTTACATCATACACAAAAATAAACTCAAGATGGATAAAAAACTTAACTAGAAGTCATGATACCATAAAAATCCTAGAGAACACAGGCAGGAAAATCTCAGATATTCCATGCAGCAATATTTTCACCAATATCTCCCCTAGGTCAAGGGACATAAAGGAAAATATAAACAAATGTGACTTCATCAAAACAAAAATTTTCTGCACAGCTAAAGAAAACATCAGCAAAATGAAAAAGGAAACCAACCATATGGGAAAATATATTTGCAAATGAAAGCTCGGACAAGGTTTGATCTCCAAAATATTTGAAGAACTCACAGGACGCTACTCCAGGAAGGCAAACAAACCAATTAAAAAAATGGGCAAAGGATTTGAACAGACACTTCTCCAAGGAGGACATACAAAGGTCCCAGAGACATATGAAAGGATGCTCAGCATCACTAGCCATCAGAGATATAAATTAAAACCACATGAGATACTAATTCACACCAGTCAGAACAGCCATCACAACCAAATCAACAAAGAAGAGCTGGCAAGGTTATGGAGAAAAGGGAACCCTAGTGCGCTGTTGGTGGGATTGCAGACTGGTGCAGTCATTGTGGAAAACAGTATAAATTTCCTCAGAAAAAAAACTAAACATGGAAAAAACTAAAACATGGACAAAACTAAAAATGGAACTGCTTTTTGACCCAGCAATTTCACTGCTGGTATTACACCCTAAGAACACTGAAACACCAGTTCAAAAGAACCTATGCACCTCAATGTTCATAGTGTTATCTACAATAGCCAAGTGTTGGAAGCAACTTAAGTGCCCATCAGTAAATGAGTGGATCAAAAAACTACAGTACATTTACAAAATGGAATACGACATAGCAGAAAGGAGCTCCTACCCTTTGCAACAGCATGGATGGAACTGGAGAGCACTATGCTAAGTGAAATAAGCCAGGTGGTGAAAGACAAACCATATGATCTCACCTTTAAGTGGAACCTAATCAACAAAACAAATAAGCAAGTAAAATATAACCAAAGACACTGAAATAAAGAACAAACTGACAGTAACCAGAGAGAAGGGGGGAGGGGATAATGGGGAGCGAAGGGGAGGAATCATCAAGGAACATGTATAAAGGACACAGGGACAAAGCCAAAGAGGGTAGGATCAAGGGTGGGAGGTCGAGATAGGTGGGGAGGGGAGTGGTGTCATGGTAGGGGGAAAATTGAGACAACTGTACTTGAACAACAATAATAAAAAAAAGAAACAAAAAAGTCATCTGATTATCCACTCATTTCTGAGATAGTGAGGGGGGGATATTCAGGTGTAATCAGAACATATTATATTCATTATTTTTAAATTTCCCAGAATACATTCCCTTTAAGAGCAGAAAAAGTCTTGACCTAGAATTTCACAGAGTGTTAGCAGTACTCCTAATGATCACCACACCCCTCCTATCTGAAGTCACCAAATGTGCTTATATAAGACATCTCTAGTCAGCAAAATGTATGTTTCTCTCTTTGGATGGAACTGGATATATATATATATTAATATAGGATATATATTATATAATGTATATTATATATTCACACATATATGTATACACACACAGATATGCATACAAAAAACAACTTCAGTATGCTTATAAGGAAAACCTCCTCTTCCTATAAACTGGATCCAAAGAGAGCAAAAAGAACTTACCTTTGACTTACAAAACTATATTCAAACTTAGGACATTAAATGGGGCAATAGAATGAAAGAACAAACTGGAAACATTTTAAAAGAACACATATAGAGGAAAGAAAAGAGGAGGGTCAAAAAGAAGGTAACACACAAAGAACAGTTGAGGAGAAAAACTTTTAAAGATAAATGAGATGACTATTAGATCTAATCATGGGAAAAACACTGGTGACCACACAGATTTTGTGTGGAGAGGGTAAGCATAGAGAATGTAAGTCATTTAGGAGAGTAAGTGGAAACATAAAATGATCACCAGACATTCACTGACCTAGATG